GGGTGAGAGGCAGGCGACGCCATAAAGCCTCAGCAGCTGAGTGCGTCGTAAAGCCCCAATGACATGACATGACTGTACAACTGACATGACAACTGCATGACATGGCCCTGTGCGGAACGATTCAATAGAGGCTAGATACTCCATCAGGACAGAATACTCCTGGCACCCACTCAGTACATCTGGACTGCAATGCGAGCGAAATTAATACCATCTGAATGGTGTCAATAGCAGCCTTAATGAAATTATTCGTTTGACACAATCCATTAATAACAGTGCTTGCCTTCTCAGCCTTCCAGATATATACTGCTGATAAGTACGATGTGGTAAAACTGGTGGTGATTGAGCGTAACCGCGTAGACGGGTTCAATAAGCAATGACGCGTATGACGCGTGGGGAAGCACGCTTGGCTTGAATCCGCCGGACATAGGATCATGACAAGCTCTCCGGATGCGAACGGGTACAGACTTAAATAAAATAACAGATTATAACATAAAATAGCAGATAAAAACGCAATAACATAACATAGCAGGTAAGATAACAGATTGTGTTTTTCACGTTTGTATGTTTCTTGTCAACCGCGTGCAGCCTGCTGTGATGAGCACGAGGCGGCACCAGCAATGGAGCCTTAATGATAATATGCCAATGGTGATGCTATGCATGATGACATGGTGATGCCAACACAAAACTAAATTGTAAAAAAGATCACGCTAGACGTAATTAAAATATTTTCTCTACGACGCTTGTTGCAGTAGCCCCCATCTCTACCAAGTTTGAGAACGTGCATCTATTATCTGTGCACTCGATGTGAATGAAATATATTTTACATAGTCACGACGTTGATTCCAAGTGCTTGGGCCCACACTCCATGTGTTTATTTTCCGAGCGGACAGAACATTCCTATTTCAAAACGTCGTGGTTCACAACAAAGACAGCATACCTAAAATCCTATCACTCTTCCGCTTTGCCCTTGTCCGAGGCGTTATAACGCTAATAATACAAACATTAAAATAAAAATAACTCAATATGACGTCCATAAATGAACTAAAACGCCGTTATCAAGAATAAAACACGACGCGGCACCTACCTCTCATAGAACCCGCACAACAGCCAAAACCTTGACAGATAAGTACCGCGGTGAAGACTTCTATTACGGCAGAGAAATCAGAAGAATATGTAGAGACTTTCCTCACATTCAAAGGGATCGGGCCTGACGAGATAACCCCTTCTTAGCTTCAGGCGCAAGTGAGGTTCACTGCATACTTAGCTCATCATTCAGTTGGCACATCTTCATGCTGCAATATTTCTGCAAAATTGTACCCGTCGCACGGATTCTACGGAAGACGCGCACCCCACAATGCTACCTCCATTATGACGACGTTCAGAGTTGAGGGTGCAACACTATTGACTACATGTTCTGTTTAGATGCGTCTAACGTCACTGACATGAAAAACGCCGCTGACGGACCGTGCCGGCCAAACGAGGACATCTGGGATGAGGCTTTAATAAGGAACTGACCAACACAGAAAGTATTTTTTTTCCTAGAACGGCAAGAATATAACGATCCTTATTGCCGCTTTTTAACCCCAGCAGATATCAAGGAAATTATAAGTCGGCACCACTGTCGGCCCCCTCGGCAGTAGCGCTACGGGCTCAAACTGTTATATTGGCAGTACCGTAAGAAAGTACTTGCAGTCGTTGGGGTTGCGTTGAGGCAAACATTTTGCAAAATTGTTGCAGTCCATGGGAAAAAAACTCACGCCAAAGAGAAAGAAAATGTGTTCCACAGCAGTATGCTACAACCCTCGATCACTACGTATTCAAATAAAACCTGAAGTTTGGCCGGCGCGATCCATTCCCAGGTCGGCCGACCTGAAGAGCCAACTGTATGCAAACCACAACATCTAGATTGGACATGACTAGATTGGGTATACTAAAGGACCGAGTTTCAGTTGAAGCGCAGGCTAACTTAAATAAAACAGATGCCGTAAGATTTGAGGCACCCGGCGATAGCAGGGATAATTCAGGCCGGTCCCCCATGTTGAGGGGAAATGCCACATCACTTGTTGTCTCTCCGGCTGACTCTGGATTGTTAACCAGCTGACAAAAACACAAACGTGCATGGTTATTTTGTGATGTTGCAGTACCAAGCCTTTCAGGTCCGGCGAAAAAAAAACTGGGGATCGGAGCCTAGCTCAGAGAAAAGAAGATCCGAGTCCCACCGCTGTCCAACTTGCCCATCGATCTCGATATTTCTAGTCACCATCGTCTTAGAGGATGCTGACTCCAATGGTATTTAGGGCCGTAATGATCACGCACAACTTGGTCACATGCAACTGCACTACGTTAGACACGTGCTGTCATTTCATGGACTATGAATCGTTGGCCGACTTTGCGCCCGTTGCTCTGACCTTCGGCAAAATCAATTGCATAGATGCACGGCACATGTCGCGTTGCAAGATGGCTACTGACAGCAATCAACTAAATGAGTGCTAAGCACGAGTATTCAGACCCTGCCAATGATACTAAGTTACGAGGCGGTTTACACCGATCAGCGTTTTAATAGACCAACCGAGTCTAGCGACCCGCAGTGGAAACTCCCGCCATCTGTCGGAGAAAATAGAAACTTACGTTTCAGTCCCTACCGACGATCAGCAGGGAACGAGGGTGAATTCGACAAAGAATGAACTCAGACACCAACTGACGTATAACGTTGAGGAATCTAGTACTCTTAATATCTCGGTAGAGTTCATTCTCTCCGGCACTCCCTACTTTGACCCAAACTTTCATGCGAACCCTTGTTACGATTTCTGATGAGACGCCGGCTACAGGGACAAACAATTTTAAGTTCGAATAGTTTTGTTTTGTAGTTTTGGCAATACTGGCTCACTCAGTCTCCCCTTCCATTCCAAGATACCACAGAAATCGGAATAATTAAGACGGCTGATGACTTTTTTGACAGAGGCCGACCTCATTTATGGCGGATCAAGCTGGCCAAACTAGACCGGTGGCAGACACAACGCTTGCTTCCGGCAATACTATTAGGATAAGGCAAGGGGCAACACGATTTTCGAAATACCCCAGCACTCGCTATAAGACCGAGGACATCGCAAGTCCAAAACTCTGGAACCATCGCCATCTCCGGAGGGGGAGACCACAAGATAACGAGCTGCAATAGATACTGGCTGAGATGCTTGGAGCAGCTGCTTCCCAGCCTCTGAATCGCACGATTGAGCGAACAATACCCGGTGACGTCACACCACAATGGGCTCGAGGAACGCGTATCACATATCATACGGTATCCAACGCATTCTGAGGGAAGCACGGCTCGCCGCCTGCCTTGAGCGAAATCGGACCATTCGCCTGTCGCGTCGAAAGTCAGCTGACTGTTGGGTCGCGATGTCTGTATCTGTCTCAAACTGGGACACATAATGACACGGAACGTCACAATCTCTGTCAGTCGGGGTAGCAAGATCGTGGGCGATACCGACAGCTTCGATACCGCCAGCAATTTGTTTGGCGAGTCAACAGACCACGAGATCCATACCATCTTTGTGATACCATGTCGTTCACCGGATAGCGTACAAAACCTGACGAGTCGGCTGGCCTGTTCAATACCACACACAACCACGACAGCAGTCGACAGCAGTGAAAAGCTTCGCTCATACCGCGTCAGCAATAAGACCGCGCGCGATGAGTCAGCGAGGTCGGCAGCGAAGTTTCTCGAATGGCACGGTCGACCCATGACTCAGAGCCGGCGCTCTTCCGCGCCGCGCCGCCCAATGAGCCTGGTCGCATGCATGGGCCAGGGGAAAAACCGGTGGTCGATACGGCGGCGCCGGGCCCGTGTTGGGCGCAAGCGCTGCCGCAGCCGGCCGGGGCCGCGGCGTCGCGCGTGTCCGTACACGCGCGGCGCGGTGTGCCGGCCGGCTCCAGACGCGTCAGCGCCGGCCGGTGACGCAACGCCGCCTGACGTCAGACCGCTAAACCTGGCCCCGGGGCCGCCAGCCGGCCAAGTTCAAGGTCACCGCGGCCGGACGACCGCGGGGAAATGCAGAGGGGCACCGCTCGAGAGGCCGCGCTGGCGAGGCCCCTGAGGCCTGCACGACCCGCGCCAGGGAATACAGGCTCCGGCAGGCTGACGCGCAGTACCGCTATACGGCCAGACGGCAACCAAGACGCCAAGAACGTCCAACGCTCACTACTGAGGGGAACAAAAAGCCTGCGCAAAACCAGATCTGCGCCGCACCGTCCGCCCCGCAAAAGGTGCAGCAAAACACACGGTACCAGCAGCTGGAAGGGGGCCAGGAGCGCTAGGCGACCAACAACGGCGCGTCTCCTCACCTGCAGCGTACCTCGCGTTTGGCCACACCGCCAAGCACAGAATGGACAAAGGCACCAATTCTGGGAAACGTCGACCATTCGCTCACCTAGCGGGCAGCATCCAGCCAACCCATGAGCCAAAGGTCACCCCTGATGCCAGATGCGACGGCCGGTAACACGGCGCAAGCGCATGGCGTCCGAGCATCGGTGCACAGCTGTGAGGGGGGCAATCGCGCCGCACAGCTGTTGGCTACTTGTCTTTACGCACGTGTGTGGGCACGGCGTGCCGCGTACGGTCGGCACAGATGCGTACAAATGAGCAGCGCGACAACCCGGCGCAAACAAGCTATCGCTCAGTAGTCTGGGTCGCACGTGACGCATTATGAACATGACAGCTCCGTGACTGCTTCGGGGACGACGCAATTACGAGCGCGCATGCGCACCGGACTCGAACGTCACGAACACTGATATTTACCCTTTGCGCGCATGCAAACCGCCACGATCATGCACACAGCAGGTACAATGGAGAGCAGTCTAGCAAGTCCCACTCAAAGTGTTTCGTGCCTCGTGCCCGCTCAAAATAGACCTTGGCCGCAGGACTAGAACCGACCGGAAGAGAGGAAGGGGGGGGGGGGGGCAGCTCGGCAGGAGCGAGCCGTGTGTTACCTCGTCCGACATACCTCGTCTGACATGTCCGCATCCAGCTGGATGAAGTCGTCCGACACGTCCGTGCTGAAGCTGGATCGCGAGGGCCCAGCCACGCTGAGCCAGTCGGCCGACGGCCCGGACGAACCGAAGGGCTCGTCCTCCGCTCCGGCCGAGATCATCAGCTCGTCCGCCGCTCCGGTCGAGGCGAGCAGCTCGTCCACGAGTCCGGCCGAGGCGACCAGCTCGTCCGCCGCTCCGGTCGAAGCGAGGAGCTCGTCCGCCGGTCCGGAAGAGGCAAGGAGCTCGTCCGCGGGTCTGGACGCCCCGGCCCACTCGTTCGCGGGCCATGTCGTCACGAGAGGCTCCTCCATCGATCCAGCCCAGACGAGCGGCTCATCCAGCGGGCCGTCCCCTGGGGCTGTGACGGGCGACTCGTCCATCCGTCCAACCGAGGCGAGCAGCTCGTCCACCGCGTCGTCTCCCGCGGCTGTGACGAGCTCTTCGTCCGCCGCTGCTGCAGCGACGAGCGGCTCGTTGGCTAGCCCGGCCTCGGCCAGGTCGGCGTCCATCATCTCCCAGACGTCGAAGTCGGCCCGCTCCAGCCCGTGCCCCAGGTCGAGGTCGAGCGGCGCCAGGTCGGGCCGCGCCGGCCGGCCCGGCTCGGGCGGCACCACCTGCTCCCGGTCACCGTCCAGGTCCAGGTCCAGGTCGAGCGTCGTGTGTGGCGGCTCGGTGGCGTTGGCCGGCGCCGGCTCCGGGGACGTCGGCCCGTCGCCGGCCGGCGTCGCTTCTCCGTCCAGCACCTGGTACGCCTGAATGTCGCTGGCGTATATCCGGTTGTAGCGGCCTAGCGCGTTCAGCTCCTCGAACAGCTCCTCCTGGTACCGTTCGATCACATTGTCTATGTTCTTGTGGCTGGCGAAGTGTTCCAGCTGCGCATGCACCGTACGCGCCGACGTGTGGGCCCAGCTCTGACCCAGGATCAGGTCACCGTCCACCGGCTGGTCCTGCAAGCCGTACATGTCCGGCTGGAACCGCAGCAGGCTGGCCAGCATGGCCATCTGCAGCAAGTTATTGTACAGTTTCTTGTCGTGGCTCACCATGGCTGCGGATCACTGCACCCGGCGGCTCAGATCCACATCGTCCGGGCGCGCGCGCGCGCGCGCGATCACACCACACAACCGTCCGCCGCCGCCGCCGTTGGGCTCCACAGCAGCGTCCACGCTCGGCCCTGCAACAGAACAACGCCGGTGAGCGCTGGTCGAGAGCGGTCGGCGCGCGCGGCGCTCCTGCTCCGTCGACGGCCGGTCCAGTCCTGACAGCGCCGGCGGCCGGCGCTCCGACGCGGCCGCTCTGTTCTCGTGCCAGCGCCGCACAAAGAGGCCGGCCGGTCGACGATCGCAAGCCGCGCCGCGCGCCGGCCCACGCCGCGCCCCCGCCACAAAAACACGGCCGCGTACGCAGGACAGCACCGCAAACAGACCGGCGCCGCCCACCTGCTCGGTTGTGCAACAGCCGGTCCGGCCGGCCGGTGACGCGGCCGGCGGCGGACGACGGGAGCGCTCCTTGACTGAGGCGCAGCGCAGGCTTGTGTCAGGCGACGACCGACAGCACGGAAGGCAAAGTGAGGACGAGGAAAGGCCGACGGCGCGGTGTGCCTTGCAGGGCTTCCAAAATACACTGCGATAACGCCAAGCAGAGGGTGAACGGCCTTATCATTTGTGGAAGACTGTGTAAACATGGACCGAACGGAGCAAAGTTCGAAGGTCACAAAATGAACATTAACTGCTGCAATGGAATCTGGTGCAGTGGATGAAGAATCATGGAACCGAACCACGCTCCTCAATTGAGACGCAACGGCGTCAACCGTGAGGTTGACCGCGCATGAGGTTCTGATACACTCGCTCCCCACCGCTCAAACCAAGTTCCGTAGCTAAGAACGTAACCGCACAAGTGTGAACCCAGTCAAGGTTTACGCGTGGTAAATCCACAAACGGTAGGAAAAACACACTGCCGAGAGCGGAAAGGTTCCCGCAAGTCGACCGCACCCGCGGCCGGTGCGGTCGGGTTATGCAGACTTTTGGCTGAGTATGCAATACGAATCAATAATACCATAAGCTTATCTACGCGAGACCGTGAGACATTACGTTACGCACGTCAGACACAGCCACTACTGCTTTATCGCACTCGCTTTCCAAAAGTCGGATTATCCCAGACCCTTTGCTTAGTCTAACAAGTGAATGTCATGCAGATGCAGCGAGCCCATCCGACATTCTGTGTGCGCTTCATCGGGTTACTAGGATTATTCATACTTACGGCAACTTAAACTGCAAGTCCAGAAAGACACATGCCAGGGTATCTGATTTTCGTAGCTCACTTACACTTTGATGTCCAGGCAGCTGAACAGAATTTTTAGTTCCGGGCTTATGGATTGAGGATACAAAAATGCTCACGAGACAAAAGCCATTGCATTAATTTCTAAATGGCGCTAACATGGCCTCCGGTAACATGAGCCAACGATACGCCAAATACGCTGCAGTAAGAGTAAAATGACAACAACGCGAGAGCTATGAATATATAATATATATATATATATATATATATATATATATATATATATATATAACATCTGCTGAAAATTGGCTGACAATGAGCATTTCCAGGAGTCGCAGTTCTAGTCGACGGGAGCGATTGAATTGCAATAACTTACTTTTGAGTGACTGCCCTGTCTACAGCATTGATAAACACAGACCGCAGATATCTTGTGCGGCAAAAGGTAACAGCGAACTGGAGGCTACACGCATGTTGTTTCCACGGTACAACCCAGGGTTTAGCCGCCGCGAATTTGAGGCCGGCTTCGAGACGGCGTCAATGGCCGCCCGCTTTGTTGACGCACCCACGCCCCAGCAAGTGAAACGTGCACCCGTTTACTGATCCGCGGAAGGAGAGCTTGTCAGCACCGCGCAGTTGGTTTCATTCCTACTCTCTCTGCACTGGTTGCCCAGATCTGAGCTATATTCTTAAAAACGTCCAAAGCAATCGGATCCATGAACACGTGTGGCCGATTGTACAAATCAACCCACCCCAGCCGATACGAATGTTCTTTCTCTTTTCCGTTAGGTGTTGGTTTCATGTCGCAGATGTGTCGAATATGAAGAAAGCTGCGCCATCTCCTGCTATTTCATGACATTTTTCGCTTTGCCGGGAGTTCGTTCCTCATAATCACAAACATTTGTATATCATGCCACAAAAATATGACGGCCCTGGTGGTGGATGCACATACAGCATGCTATGTAATGCACAACGAACCAGGTTGTCAACAGTACATCAATGCTATATTATTTACACTGTAAATCTTTTGCGAAGCTTGGTTTTAACGGATGATCATATGGTGGCTTCAAATATGACACTAATTTTCATTATAGCCGAAACGACACGAGGTCAGTTGAACGGAACAATGATAAAAGGTCAAATTGTCGTAATTATGCACCTGATGGGGCTGAAAAAAATGCGTCGAGATTTCTACTCGTTGCCTTAATCTCCAAAAAAACTGAAAGCAGATTTCTGTAAGCAATAGTACTCAGTGAATGGGAACACAGACTTCGTTCACACTGTGGCGTTGAGAAAAACACGCATCACCACCTCATACGCACATCAATTACATTTTGCCCTTCTTTAGAGCCGCTCACTTCCTTTTGCTGAAACCTGCATCGAGCTGGAATAGTGGATGTGAAAATACAAATCGCTAGAAAGTGCGGCCATCGGGTAAGGCTGGGCCGCGCAGCTTTAAAAATATATCACCGTCCATGTAACAGAAGCTGAGCTCGTGGCGTCGCGTGTAGTGATCGCTATAACGTGTCCTGTACAGAGGCGTTTATCATTTTGTGGAGGGCTACTTTTGAATGAAAGAGACAATTCATGCTTACATGTGAGTGGCTGCAGGAGGGGGCGTGATTGGATTAACACCAATGGTTAGATATAACAACCATACCCGCGGTAGTGACAAAAAAAAACACGGGACAATCAGTTAAGTATCTTACGCGATGGTCCCCGCATGGAAAGCTCGCATTATCTTGTCCACCAACACCCGCAAACATAGTTGGGGTCATCAGACTTTGATGCGGTTTGGCCATCATCAGTCTGCGCTGTAACACTTCAAAAGTTGCCCATGAGCTCATGTTATCGTGCCAATCAACAGTCAATGCCCATCACATCAGTTGCGTGTAATGACGATCCAACGACATCGATGTCACGCATCCCTTACTTTATAAAGTGAGCGACTGCTGATAGCAACTGCGGTTCCCGTTGCCCTAGCAATGAAAGGAGTCGCACCATACCGTCCTGTCATAACCTAACCTCCAGCCTGAAAGAGATAGTGCGCAACAAGCGAGACCACGAATGCTTTGTTTCACCTGGCAGGCCGGGCGGCTTTTCACGGCGCGTTCGTCGGAAATGTGCTGTTTATTCCCCCCATCCCCCCTTTCCCTGGCAGCAGATGTCGGCTCCTCCCTGTTCCACCTCAAAACACACGACGGCCGTGAGTCACCGGCCGCCTCACCCAAGAGAGACGGGGGTGAATCAAAATAAAGTCTCCGCTCGCCCTCGGCTGGTATTGGCGGCCGACAGAGTCAAGACTGAGCAGAGTGCTTCTTTCCGGCTAGATCTGCTGCCAGACCTAACCTGTTTAGACTGGGGCCTCATGCACAAGCAGAACGCGAGACATGCGGAACCCGGACCAGTGGACAGCTCCTAACTGTCTGCGACGCGACTCGACTCGACGCTCTCTAGGCGCAGCTGACAGGTTGGCTGATTTTCATAGCTTTTTTCAATGATCACTTTTCACAGCATCAATTTGCCATTTTCCACCAAAAGTAGATTGTGGACTTACCAGTGGAAAAAGCAGGTAGTAATAATTGCACCATGCAATATTTTGTGCATTAACCAGACCTTTTCCTGTTCACAGCTATTAAAATTAAAAAATGGGGAAAACATACAGCATGCACATAAGCAGCAGACTGTCTTGGAAATCAGCCTTAGGAAACTGAACTTCATTCAAAAGGGGCATTGAACAATTCATATGGTGCTCTGCAAGACAACTTTTGGAACATTGTGCACAAGGTCACACCATCATCAAATGATACCACATTAGTTTGTTGGGCAGCTGCTATAGTTTAACAGTATTCCTCATAAACATTTGACATTAAAATACAACCTAAATGATCAGAAACTCTACAAATCATGGATATATCGGAAGAATACTACAGGCTTTGGCATCAGACAAGTGCTAACAAGTGACCAAATGTAAATTATCTTTATGTTATGCCATAGGTGCAGGCCCACAGACAGAAATCAGGCAAAACTGGACTTAACAACCATAACATAATGTTTTCATAGGGCCTTCCCTTCTATAGAAATGTGATTTGAAAGCCTGGATGGGAACATTGAAGCAATTAAAAGTATTGAACCACTGCCAATCCTGATGCCCAGTTGGTTAGAGTGCCTCCCTTCTGACTCAGCCACACATGGCATGGCTGGTTCAAGTCTCTTCAGGTACCTGCTACTTGCCCTTGACAGTGTGACCTGCAGCAGGTGGCAGTGGCTCTAAAGATCAGTTGATTCCAGAAGGCAAGACTGTTCCCAGGATTGTATTTCATTAAATCTTGCCACCAAATGCTCCTGTTGACCTGCAATTTTGTGCCTAGCTGGTAGGGTCCACAGCTCACAGTGGCACTCGTTCACATGAGCTCTGGTCCTCAGACTGTAAAAAATATAGGCCATCCTGAATACGCCCTGGGCAGCAGCAGCATCCCACAATATTTAAGTGTGGGCACACAATTTACCTGACAACCCCATTTCAGTGTGCATTCATCACCAATGTCACCACACAGAGCCAATGTTTCAATGAATTACCATATTGGTTACATTATTTTAAGCAAAAATATTTCAAAAATTATGCACAATTTGGCCTGGCCAAATTTTGGCATGAGCATGCTGCAAGATTCAACTAACTAACATCATGTGGGCATCCTGGGCAGTGGGTGGATTTTTGCAGATTGGTATGACACCATGATTTGGTCCATTCAAAATGTTCAGACCGTTTGTTTTATACTGTGTAAATGAGAGACTGTACGCATTGACACATGATATCTAACACCACATTTTGGAGCTTCAGCTTTGTCCTTCATTGTAAAGGGTGGAAAATTTGCCTGCTTAATTTGTATACAATGCAAACTAGCTCAACACACTTAAGCTGAATTAGGTAGCAGTATGAATGTAGTCATGACAAATGAGAAGATGCCAAAACCTTATAATACTCCTGCTATGCAACATTAAAACGCATGTGCTTGCCATTTCCGGGCAAAAGTTAGGCTTTAATAGTACAATGGCCAAATCCTGGCCTAATGAATGGCAATGTCATTGACTGCTCACACAAAGCAATAATGAAACGTCAACAACTTACCCAGGTATCCGTGTGAAAGCAGGGAATCCACAAGATATCCACCTGACCACAAGCTCGCTAAATATCAGCCCGTCCCACTAACGCTTTGCTGATAAATACAACCCCACCGCTTCAGCCGGCGAACAATGAACTGCGTGCGCTGCGTACAAAAAACCGGCCGAGTGAAGCCAAGCGTACACTTCCCAAGGTTTGGCACCTGGGGACCACGAGAAACACGCCAAGCCACCATGTGCATTTATTGTCATATGACGTCATCTCACGACGTTTAAGGCTCAACTTTGCCAAGGCCGGGTAACATTGGTACGTGTAGGCCGTCTTTGCACGTTGTGATTCCGTCATTTCCGTCAAATGAAATATGTGCAGTGTGTTTATAATAACTTTGAAATTCTCAGGGTGCAGGTCTAGGATCAAATTCAAGGTAAATAAGACCGATATATTTATATTTGTCTGGGGAGGTAAGGTTGACTTACAGGTGGTAGGTTTCAATGCACACTAGTTTCCACCCGGAACGAAATGTTTAGATGCCTTAACGAACGAAATCGGTCGGAAAGTATTGGGTTGAGTGACTTACTCGCTAGATAGCCTTGGATTTACGCATCAAACTAACTTGAAACAAATCTTAAAGGTTGAACTTGAGGGGTATCCTAATAACGCCGACGTTGGATGGACGTCGGATACCATACGCCGTACCATGACGATTGATGGGGTGCGAACATCAAATGTATATCGGGAGTGTAACAGCTGGGTGTCCTTAAAACCAGCTCACAAGGTGTAAAATCGCAATATGTTGTTTTTTGTGTTCAAACCGTATGTTCATTGCGTATAATCTCTAAACCTTTTCAGACGCCGCTTTCGGATCTCTGCTGGGATGGCGGAGATCATCTCGGGTGTAATCGGTCTTGATCTAGCCTACCCTTCCCGGCGCAACCGGGCACTGGCGCCATGCGAACAGTTGGTCATCGCGCTCAGATTGGTAACATTGCGAATATAATCCTGGCACATGTGAAGGCAGATTGCTAGTTGTGTATGGGATAACTTTTATATGTCTTGTCTTTGGATATGCATGGCATGATGTATCATGAATATGATATATGATGTATCATGAATATGATATATGATGTACCATGAATATGATATATGATGTGGATGAATGGTACTCTCGGCGACCATCAGCCAGATATGCCTAGTCGTCAGTATGTTATGCCGTTGATGCCACGTGTAGCCTACTCATCCTATTGCACCTGCAAAAATGCGCTTGAAGCTTAAGAATATGAGGCTATTAAAAAGGCATCTCACGTATACTAACCAACAAAACATAGAGTTTGTTTACTACGTTGTTGGGGGGAGAGATGTTTGAAAACAATGAAGCGTGACTAATTAATTCGATAATTCATGTTCATATTGCAATAATGATAAGAATGATACAGCAATATAATTGTCTTTCGCGTCTGGTGGGTTTTACTTGCGTGTCTACGCATTCGTGCTTGCCTAAATGTCAGGTTCTTTACAACCGGTGGGTTTTATATGCGTGTGGCGGACGGCCATGGACCGTCGAAGTCCACAGTATGCCCGTCATACACCGCGTAAGCGCGGTAAGCCGCCAATACAGGCTCGACTAGCTGGCGCCATGGCGTGGCCAACTGGGTAAAGGCTCCAAGAAGTCCAGACGGAATTGCTTCGTATGCAGGGTATTCCGAATGTCGTATGCAAGAGGTTTCCCGCCAACGGGACATTACACCCGCATGACTGCCTAATCACGTCTCACACTTTGGGTTGGTCTGATCATCATGTGAACCCGTCACGTGCACAGTACAGCTTTTGCTGCTAAAAAGGTCGAACTCCTTTCGAGGCCTTTTTATATGAATGGTTAGAAAACGATGCATGCGTAATCCTACGGTTTTGTTCTTTAATTGAGGTGAAGCTCTGGCTGCTGTTCTGCATTCCGAAGCGAAACGTCTGCATTCGTCATCAGTGTTTCAGGGTACGTAGATGTGACAGATGTCAATATTACTGTGGCGGCCAATAAAGTCGACCGGTACAGAAACTGCGAAGGGCAAACGAGCCTTGCCGTCGTTGGACCGAACCGCGAGGTGCTCGCTCCTCCGGCGCACACGACCAGTCGTATCCATGACGACCGTGCCTTATGGACATCTGGCGTGGATTAGTTGTAAGCCTTTCGTGCATTTGTGAAGAAACGATGCTTGTTATTAGTGCAAGCACAATGAAACGTCACGCACTGCTGTAATTGAAATGCAAGTTTCGGTTTGCACATGTTGTCAGTTATGGTGTTACCACTACACGCTTGCCCATGCGCATCGCCGCGTGCTGCCATCTGACGTTAAACGAAGAGATCGTTCTGTAGAGCATGGTAATGCAGCATCCCAAGTTGACCGTGTTGTCCACGCTGATCACGCCCGTGCCGGTTCCATAAACAACCGAGGAGAGAAGCAAGATATTGAGCATGGGAGCGCCTTACCGACGACTCGCCGAAGTCCCTAGAAAGAACGGGGGATTATCGCAGCACCTAATGTTCGTATCCCCTCGACCCGTTATGACACATTAGGTGCTGCGTACATTAGGCGTTATGAAGCACTAGCGGTTTTGATACATTAGGCGTTGCGATACATTAGTGGTTACAAACATTAGGGGTTTCGATACCGACCCTCGTTCCCTATAAAATCCTGACAGCCAATGGCGCAGCCAGGATTTTATAGGGAGGTACCATAGCTCGGCGAACCGATTGTTATCTGTCTGTCGGGAGCCATCTATGGAGAAAAACGCCCTTGGCCACGTCCCTGATCGTAAGCTCACGATGTCACGCGACGTCAGGATCACAGTTCATAGCATCGTCCTACCTTACGTTGGAGCGTGCCAAGAATGTACTTTTCATCTCTCAAAAGAGTTTTTTTAGACAGCATCTTTGTGCAGCCTGGCTGGACGCTGCGATCAACTAATTCAAAATGCCTTGCCACACGTTCAACTCAGCCCATAGGAGAACCAGACTGGTGGTAGAAAACCTGTTTGAAAAATCTTCGCCTCCGCCTCCCGGCCCCGGACAGCAAGAAGCTGCGACTGTACAGTGTGGAGGCTTGCGTCCGTGTTGTGTTCTGACCTTCATACCTGACCCTAGATCAATGGACTTTGTTCATTCAATTGCTATGCTGACTAAGAAGGTACCACAGAAATTATGGCTTCGTCTAACACTCCGTGGTTGCATCAGATTAAACGATTCTCTTGAAATTGACTTCGCTAAATCCTGGTCCGACTTTGATCTTCCATAGGCCAACGACCTTATAAGGTTCCGCTATTCAGTTGTCTACGGCTATGCAAGATTTGACGTGGCTACACCGCGCCGTTCGGAAACCATTCCGGAAAACCCCCGGGAGGTCAAATTGACTCCCCCACCCGAGTGCGTGTTAAACCTTAACTCAACAGCGAACGACGCAACGCAATGACTTCAATCCCACTTCACAATGAACGTCACGGATGTTGAGCCGCTTCCAGCGTGGGGTGTCTACATACCCACCCTCACCGCTGTCAAAAATCGCACCTCAGCTGCGGTTTATGTCCGCAAACTGCGACTGCGGTTTATGCCCGCTGAGCTTCGCTGTGCTTCGAGAGCCGAAGTTTTGGAATTCGACTCAGTTTAGAATTTGGAAGCCTGGCGATGTCGGTCATTTCTTTCACCGGTACCACCTCGCCGACGTGCAGTCACGGAGCGAGAGCTTCAAACACTGTTTCAGGGCGCGTACCGCTCCACGACAGCCCGCTCACTCCTACAGTGTGCGGTCCGAAGCTGACATTTTCAAAAGTGCGTAGTAGCGTGCCCTCAGATCGGCTGCATCCGCCGACAAAGGTTTAGTGGAAGCGGTGACGACACGAGCATAAGGCCGCTGAAGCCTGCCTGCCACTGAGTGGTAGGGGCTGGCAGCGGGGAGGTGTACTACGCGAACGTCCGGCGCTGGGGGCGGCTCGACGAATGCAGCTGGTGAGGCTCCAAAACTGGACAGCGGGTCGGAATCGGTAAAGGCAACTTCCACTGTCACCAGTTCAGTGGCTGGTTCAGCTGACTGCGCGTAAAACGTTGCTGTTGCCCTGGCACGGCAGTGGCTCCGTTTCGCTTTATGCGCCTGGAAATAAATGAAACACTCGTTTCACGTGATGTCAGTCAAGTAACTTCCTGTGGAAGTGAATATGATACAGTGAATGGCTAGTGCTATTCATTATCTCAGCCTTAGGTGAAAGACCGTGAACGGTGCAGGCAGGCCAGCGTCATGAAATCGCTTTTCACTTGGGTGTAGGGATGATGTCTCTATTTACAAGAAGATGGACAAATGGGTTGATGCGTCTTCCATTGTGCGTCTGCTTTACACCTTATGCAGTTTCCGGGTCTTCCGTTGCGACTCAGGGTGGGGAGTTATGAAGAGGCGTCCACAGCCGTCGCCTCTGACTTGTTTGCCATTACTCGCTGGAGCCCCCTGTCCCCATGTCGCTGCGTCGGTCATCACGTGTCTCGCGCCCGTTTCGTCGTTGGCAGATTATGTGCCGTAAGCAGTGCTCGCTCTCTGGTGCCATGGTCTAGGCCCACGCACGGCGTACATTGGCTATATCTTGTGTCACTTGCTGACCATCTATGCTGTCACAGCCTGTGCGTGCGTAGAGAGATGTGAGGTTGGCATTTCGCGACTATGCGTCTGCAAGAGAAGTGAGATGCAACGTTGACACTGTGCGACTGTGCGTGTGTAAGGGAAGGGAGATGTATCGTTGACAATGTGACTATGCGTGCGTTAGAGAAGTGAGATGTAACGTTGACACTGTGAGACTGTGCGTGTGTGAGGGAAAGGAGATGTAACGTTGGCACTGCACGACTGTGCGTCTGTAAGGGAAGAGCGATGTAATGTTGACACTGTGACTGTGCGTGTGTAGGGGAAGTTAGACGCAACGTTGACACTGTGACTGTGCGTATGTGAAGGAATGAAGATGCAACGTTGACACTGTGACTGTGCGTGTGTAGGGAAAGTGATATGTAACGTTGACACTGCGTGGCTTTGCGTGTGTCAGGGAAAGGAGATGTAACGTTGGCACTGCGCGACTGTGCGTGTGTAAGGGAGTGAGATGTAACGTTGACACTGTGACGCGAACCACTC